CCGCCTCTGGTTGCTACCTCTGACTGCAGCCTCCGGTCGTCGTGCTGCCAGATGCCACGCCGCCGACCGTCGCCTCTGGTTGCTGCCTTCAGTTGTTGCCTCCGACCGCCACCTTGGGTCGTCACACCGCCGCCAGTGGTCGCTTCCTGTCACCGCCTCCAACTGCCGCTTCAGATTGCCACCTCTGACTGCCACTTCCGGTCGCCAACTTCGACCGTCGCTTCCGGTCACCACCTACAACCGCTTCCAGTCACTGACTCCGACCGTCGCTTCAGGTGGCCGTCGCCTCCGATCGTCGCTTCCGGTCGCTGCCTCCGATCGCCGTCTCTGACCGATGCCTCTAGCTGCCTCCAGTGACCAGTTAGCAGATATGTTCACAAAATTGCTTAAAGGACCACGGATTAATTATATTTGTAACAAGCTTGGTGCATATGATATATATGCTCCAGCTTGAGGGGGAGTGTTACAGATATTGTGAATATATTACAAATATTGTGGATACATATATTATGATTATTATCCTTACTATCAATTAGGGATATGATTAGATTAGTTTCCATAATATAAGAGATTAGTATCTCTATCATTTATTGTATTCACTCTATAAATAAGATTGGTGTGCGTATAACAACACACACAATTCCTGAATCACAACAGATCCATAGGAGTGTCAATTGATTTAGCATTGAGAAGGCTAGTTTTTTCCAAGATGTCGAGTGCATACTTTCTCTAAGATAGCACCAAACCGTCCTTGGATTGAGCAACTTTAATTCCCAGAAAGTATCAAAATTTGCCAAGGTGCTTAGTTTGGAATTGCTTACGAAGATACTATTTCAAGTCTCTAATTCCTTGTTGATTGTTGCCAGTAATAACAATGTTGTCCACATAAACAATAAGTAGATGCATCCTTTAGGTGAATGGTGATAAAAGACTGAATGGTCAGCTTCACTGCGAGTCATGCCAAATTGTTGTACTATAGTGCGAAAATGGTCGAACCATGCACGTAAGGAGGGTGTGTGGGAACAAGACCATTTATAAGGAGGGTGTGAGTTGTTTTGATAAGGTGTCGATGTTTGCGTTTAGCAACTCTGTTTTGTTCTGGGGTATGTGTGCAAGATGTTTGATGAAGAATTCCCTTTGATGCCATAAAGCGCTGAAACACGAGATAAATATTCACGTGCATTATCACTTCAAAGGGATCAAATAGGAATACCAAACTGCATTTTGATTTCATTATAAAATTTTTCAAAAATAAGAAACGATTCGGATCTATTCTTCATCAAATAAAGCCATGTGCATCTTGAAATGGGGATGCATCCCTTTTATTGACACGATTAGGAAACAAAACTCTTACATGTTTTGCTAATTGGCATGACTCATAATGTCGATTTTCTAATTTGGAAAGATTGGGTACCATCTTCTAAAGTGTTGGTAAACTAGGGTGTCCTAATTGAGCATGCATTACCAAGGGAGATATGGTGGATGAACATATTTTTGCAGAGAGATAATATAAGCCATGTGACTCACATCCAATACCAATTGTCCATCTGAAAATCTGTTCCTACAAGATAACAATTTTTTTAGTAAAGATGATAACTAAGTCATGGGACTGGGTTAGACGACACATAGTAACAAGTTAAATGGACAATTAGGAACATAAAGAACAGAGTCAACGGTGAGGAAGGGAAGGGGATGAGTAGTGCCAATGCCTTTGGATTGGGTTTGAGATCCATTAGCAAAAGTAATGGTGGGTAAATACTCAGATGTAGTAAAAGAAAAGAGAATGATTATTGGAAATATGATTAGATGCCCCCGAGTCAAGTACCCAAGGACACAAGGAAAGGGATTGGGATACACAAGCAATGGATTTACCAGATTATGCAACTGAGGCAGTAGTGTTCGAGCCTTCGAGGTTTGGTGACTCTCAAACCATTGGAGAAAGTCCTCATAGGAAGCCAATGTAGCCCGAGTTTGATTTTGCGATGGAGAATCAAAGGTAGGTGAATGTGCTACATTAGCAAGACGAGGTGGTTTGCCATGTAATTTGTGGCAACGATAAATGGTGTGGCCAATACAATGACAATGGTCACATTTATGATGTCCCTTAGAACTAGAGGGTCCTGTGCGGAGTGACTAGAGTTATTGCTATGAGAGACCATAACAAAGGTATCTCTAGTAGAAGGCGAGGCCTCAACCACCTGCTTGGAGGGAACCCTAAGGAGTGCAGTAGGTGGAAGGAGGTTATTGAATGCATGGAGAGTTGCATGTATCTGCCCAATGTATGGAGACATAGTGCCTTCAAGTCCTTGCGATGCCACCAATGTTATCAAGTCTTTACATACTCCATATAAGCATTGCGTGTCATTGGTGTACAACGCACGCACGCGCCTCACTCCAAATTGAATTACAAGTGTTGTATAGGAGAAATATCGGTTTGAGAGAAGAATGAATGGTGGACTTAATAATACTACATAGTTGTGCAAGGACCTTCTTCCATGAACCACGTTCAGTAGCAGGTAATGAGTCAACATTAGTAGTGGGATGAGTTTTGTAGCCCAAATCAGTGATCCACAAAGTGATTTTAGAGGCCGAAGTGGAATAATTTGTTCCGTCTAATTTCTCAATAGGGAGTGGAATATTAGAGGAAATTGTCAGGTCTGGCTTGGTAGACGAAGGGGGTCTTGCTATAGCCATGGTACCTCAAAAAGAGGAGAGAGAAAAGTGTGGACACGGTAGTGGCAACAGTGGTCGTTGAAAATATTACCGGAGCCGGGTTCTCACCAAATGGAAGCAAATTGGAAATTAACACAGTTTGAAAAAAAAAATTGTTCTCTGGAGATATTGGGTCTATTGGGCAAAAGAAGGTTTCAAGGTGAACCACTCTTAGGCTCTTGATACCATATTAAGAATCAGGGAATAGAGAAAAATAATTGATTGAAACCGTGTGTCTAAATACACACTAGGTGAATGTGTATATAGGTTTTTCATAGATTACACATGAATATAAAAGATATGATTTCCTATAATCTTTAAGATATTATCTCTACATACTATATTTAAAATCAAGATAAGATAATATTAAAGATAAAATGATGTCTAACATTCTTGACAAAATTAAAATTGTTTGACAAGTAATTTTTTGAAAACTGTTTCCAAGATTAATATCTCTTTTGTTAGTTTGCTAAGCTTGGAAACTGTTTAATGCTTTTAAAAACAAAATTGTTCAAAGAGTAATTTTTGAAATCTGTTTTCAAAATTAATATTTCCTTTTTAGTTTTAAAAACAACAGAGATGTTCTGGTTTTTTGCTTTCAATTTTCTATTACTAGTGTTCTTCCTTGCACTTTCACATCTTCCCATCCTCACTCCTATTCTCTAAAAAATAGTTTTTGAGAACTGTTTTATAAAATAGTTCTTAAAAATTTAAAATTAAAAAACACAATAAAAAATACTCTCAATCTCTTTCTTTCAAATCATTTTAGTTTTCAAGTTGGTATTAAAGCTCCTGATCTCGGAGGCTCTGCTTCTGAATCTGAAATCTATCCATCTTTTTTGTATTTTGAATCATTCCAAAAGTCTGGTCTACTGTGCATATTTAAGCCAACATAAACATCCATGCACTTAAACAAGCCTACAAGAACAAATTCATGAAACAGAATAGTAGAATAACTTTGTAATGTTTAGTCTTAATTCATGGTTGATCACTTTTTAAACTTTGGTTCAGTACCATGTCAGATATTCAACCACCTAAAAAACTAAACTGTTAAGAAAATGGATCAACCATGGGTAGTAGGATATGTGCCAATAAAAATTCTAATTTTCATGGAAGTGTTTATGACATCAAGATTTATTTTTTGCGCTACTGTTAATATACATGGAAAAACCATTTCACAATCTCATTAACTTGTCCAATTAAGAACCTGTATTTAATTTGCATATTAATTTTTCTTGCAACTCTTGCAGGAAGCCAAAAGAGGATTGCCTTTGGTTGGAAAAAACAATGTGATTCCAACGGAGGAGAAAACCAATGAAGATGAAACCTTGGTATATGCAAATAAGCTGGTAAGAATTCATTTCATGGAAAGTCTCTTATTAAAAAATCAAAGGTATCTTATCCTTTTCTATCATTATATATAATGCCACATTAAATTGCTCTTTTAGGAAGCAAAAAATGCATTTAAAGCGCTTTTGGAATCTGTGAATGTTCAGTCTGATTGGACATGGGAACAGGTAGATGTTGCACCTTAAAACTTTTCCGCTCTTTTTTTATGTGCTGCAAATGCTAACTATTGTCTTTTAATTGTAATTCAGGCAATGAGAGAAATCATCAATGACAAAAGATATAATGCCCTAAAAACACTTGGTGAGCGAAAACAGGCTTTTAATGAGGTGAGGAGCAGGCTTTACAGGGCAAATTGTATGCAATACATTGAAGTGGTTACTTAAGTTTGCATCACCTAATTCAGTGGCATGATATAGTTGCATACAATGTTATCAAATAACTGTTGTGGCACTGCCAGAGGTACAATGTGGTGTTTTTGGCCATCTGTTATTTCCCGTTTTATGGCTCTGGCCACCTTATCTGCTATGGGTGATGGATCCATGGTGTTTTGGGACGTGCATAAATTTCCTCCTTTCTTTTTCCATTAAAAAAAAAACACTTTTAAAGGTTTTTGCAATCTTAAAACATATCGGCCCCAATTTCGTATTTGCACTTTCTCTCGGTCTCTTGTCATTGTCGACAAAGTGGGAAGCCTAGGATTTCTCTTGTCTTCTCTCTTGTAATGCTACTAAGTTGCACTGGCAAGTCTTCTCAAGCTACCACCCTTGTTGGTGACAGTTTTTCCGGTGAACAAAGTCGGTGGCTGTAACAGTTTTTTCTTCTTCCTTCTATTTATTTCTTTCTCTCTGTTATTCATTTCTTCAGATGCTTTTCATCTTCTTTTCTCTCTTATTCTCTGTGTGACTGTCCTTGTTCTTTGTTTTTTAGAATTGCAGAATCATGTTCTCTGTTCTGCGTACTCTGCTTTCTTTGTTAAACTTATAATGTCGGTCAATTCTTATTCACTTATAGTACAATGTCAAGCACCCAAAATTAATGTCATGCATCCTCAAACTGTTTTTAATTTATTTATTATTTGTTTTTATTTTTTTATTTTTACACATTATTCTTTTTATCTTCCATGCCATCAGCCATATGTTTATGGCATATTTATGCTCACCGCCATAGGCCATTATTTGTTATCGATAACCTTGGTTGCATATGATTTTCTATGAATTTGTTTGTTATACTGTCGTGTGTGGCTCTGTAACAACATTGAATCAATTTAATCTTTCATTCAGTATTTGGGCCAAAGGAAGAAGCTGGAGGCTGAAGAGAGGCGCATGAAGCAGAAAAAAGCCCGTGAAGAATTCACAAAGATGTTGGAAGTATGTTGAATAAAATACCTGATTAATTTGTGCTTTATTAGTTAACTCTTTACTCATATTATCTTTACAGGAGTGCAAGGAACTTACATCATCCATGAGATGGAGGTATGCCTTTGCTTGTTTGGTGAAGAATTTGATTTTAGTTGGTCTCCTTAGGTTGAAATAATCCATCTTAAAATTTCTAAATAATTATTTACTGTAATCAGCAAAGCTATTAGTATGTTTGAGAATGATGAACGATTCAATGCTGTCGAAAGACCAAGAGACCGAGAAGATTTATTTGAAAGCTATATGGTGGAACTTGAGAGGAAGGTGATATGTTGTTACATTTTTCTTTCTTATGAACCTTTGCAATCACGGCAAATCATTAAGTCTAGATCTTGTGCCCAATGAAGCTACAAAACCTTTTGCTTAGAATTGTGGATTTTTTTGCATTTTATTTTGGGAAAATCTTGTTTTTATTTGGTGGGTAGTGGCAGGCAAGTGGTAGGCTGTTATTTGATTGCCCCTTTTCTTGGAACTGTGACTTTGTGTGCAATATTATGGTTACTTTATTTTTCTGGCTGTAACATTGCATGAGGACATTAAGTTTATTAAATATATCATTATTGCCACTAAAGTTTTGGCTGAACCACTTAATGTAAATTCGTGTTAGATGAAACTAACAATATAATTCTAGTTCCTCTTTAAATTTAACTTATCAGCTAAAATTTGCAATAGACGTATGCCAAATTTTATTTCATTACATTCTTAATGCTATCCTTTCTGTGCAAAATTTAGGAAAAAGAAAATGCTGCAGAGGAGCACCGTCGAAATATAGCAGAATATAGAAAATTTCTGGAGTCCTGTGATTATGTGAAGGTATATTTTCTGCATTTGTCATTATTGTTGCTATGCTGTCGAACCTTTTCCTTACTATTTTCATTTTATTTTAGGTGAATAGTCATTGGCGAAAAATCCAAGATCGGCTAGAGGATGACGATAGATACTTGCGACTTGAAAAAATTGACCGCTTGCTAGTCTTCCAGGTACATTTTTTTAGTTTGTCATGTTAGATGGATCTAGTATGAGCTGATATTTGCTTTGGCAGGACTATATTCGGGACTTGGAGAAAGAAGAAGAGGAACAAAAAAGAATACAGAAGGTAGAACCTAAGTGTATGGTTGTTGGTTATGATTTAGTCCATATCCTTTTTTGTGTATGCATTTATGACTATGATATAGGATCGAATCCGCCGGGGTGAAAGGAAAAACCGTGATGCATTTCGCAAGTTGCTTGAAGAACATGTTGCTGCTGGAAATCTGACTGCTAAAACTCAATGGAGAGAATATTGCTTGAAGGTAGTAAAACTTTGCATTGGTTACAATGAAAGCTGGAATAATATGGAAAGAGAAATAATTTGTGTTTTCTACTTGTAGGTCAGGGATTTACCTCAATATCAAGCTGTTGCGTCAAATACATCTGGTTCCACACCAAAGGATTTATTTGAGGATGTTGCTGAGGAACTTGAAAAACAGGTTATCTAATTTGTGTCTAGTAATTTCTTTTAAATGTTGACGATGTGTTTGTTATAGATGTGTATTGCTGTTGGAAACTAGAAGGATATTGTTATGGTCTATGCTATTGTGCTGCTGGATTACTTTTATTTGAAGCAATCTGTCTTCAGGCAACATCCCTATCTGGGGTGAAATTGTGTTTTGACATTGACTACATCCTACATGTTTTGTTCTGAGGATTTGGGCTATAGACAACAGAAAAGTAAATTATGTCCATTTATATTTTGAGCTTGTTGTTTTTATGATTTAAAATAACTTCAAGAAAGTAAGATTGCTTTTATATTTTAAATTTAATGTTATGATTGAATGTTTCTTGGATGACCTGGATTTAGGTAATGATGTACTGAACTTTTAGATTTTGATATTATTTTGAGTAATGTGAAGCTATAGAGTGTTGTGATTGCTGAAATCTCATTTTTTAACATGATATTTTTTTACAGTATCATGAAGACAAGACGCTCATAAAAGATACAATTAAGTCAGGCAAGGTAGGCATCAAAAAGATTTTCGTTGCATTTTATATTTAGCATGTTTGGTGACAAACTCTGCTTACCCAAGCTTCCTGTCTCATTCAAGCAGATCATTGTAGTGACTACATCAATATTTGAGGACTTTAAGGTTGCTGTCTTGGAAGAAGCTGCATGCCAAACAATATCTGAAATCAATTTGAAGGTAATATAATTTTGTTGTAATCTTTCATTTTATTACATTTCTTGCTCTTAAAGTATAAATTATGTAATGTATGAGAGTAGTTATACAAATGACCGACTGTCAGTTACTCTGTTGGTGTTTTAACAGTTAATTTATTACAAGGCAAGGCAATGGTAGACAATTGTTATTTGTTTTGACATCTCTAATTAACAGTTACTCTCTTGGTGTTTTAACAGTTAGTTTCTTAAACGACATTCCTTAAGCTCCGATAGAATATATCAGCAAGAAAAGAGAACAGTTTGTTGCATTAGTTTCAACATTTTGGATATAATTATATGAGGCTTTCTTTTTGACAGGTTATTGATATAAAATTATATCTATTGACAAATATAAAGTCTGTAGTTATTACTCAAGTTTGTAATTTCAATGTTAAATTTATTCTCATTCTATCAATTGTTATATTTGTCTCCTTCTGATGTTATTGATCAACTTCAAAAATATGGAGTCGCTTGTGCATGTTGGAGCAAATTTCTATTAATAGTTTCTTCTTAACCCTATGTCCTATTTAATGTTGTTTATGCCTTTGAAACATGGATTATCAGAATTTGGTTATTTGTTTATCTTTTGTAGCTTATATTTGAAGAGTTGTTAGAGAGAGCTAAGGAGAAGGAGGAGAAAGAAGCCAAGAAGCGCCAACGCCTTGCTGATGACTTTACTAACATGTTATATACAATCAAGGTAAACCAATATTCTTCCAGTACTGATTTATGTTTCACATTGTTTGGTTAAAAAATTGATATTAAGCTTTATATTTTATTTTTGTAGGATATTACTACTTCTTCAAAATGGGAGGACTGCAAGCCCCTTTTTGAGGAGACTCAGGAGTACAGGTATATTTATTACTTTTAGGCTTAGGTACCGTCGTACCGGAAGCAATGTTCCTAGCACAGTGTGTCCATGATGGAGGAAATTTTGCTTGATGTTTAACATACTGTACTGCCCTATAGGTCAATTGGAGACGAAAGCTATAGTAGAGAAATTTTTGAGGAATACATCACATACTTAAAGGAAAAAGCTAAAGAGAAGGAACGCAAGCGAGAAGAGGAGAAGGTCCATAATTTATTTGTCAGAGTTTTTGGTTTCATAATAATAACATCCATACATGTTTTGATATCTTTTTCTAAGACAATTTGGTTTCATAAGCCCGAATTTTATTTGCACTGATGATCTGGTTTAGTTGTTGAAACGGCTCAGTGGTGGTATTATTTACAGTTTAGGTTAGTTATTGAATCTTTTGTCCAATTTTAACAGTGTACATTCAGATGAAAATCAAATAAAAGAGTACTGAACAAACAGGAAGAACAAAGTAAAGGAAAAGGAGATGATTGTAAAGAAGTCTAGTGAATAGATAGAGAACTCATTCTTTTATTCCTACAACTACAATACACTTTCCATGTCTTAGTAGATATGGTTATAAAAGTTTCCCT